GGGCCATTTAAGATGGGTTTAAGGTGTAAATGGGTTTTGGGTTGAACTTTAATGCATTTCACCCTTCAACTTTTCAGTTCTTCAATTAAGTCCATTTCCTCATCTTCTTTTCCAATCTTCTTCGTAAAATTTCCTTTTTGCCCTCCCCTTTTTTCTTTGAATGAACCTAACAAGTAAAATAAAGATAAAACATAGTAGTTAAGATAAAAATAAAATAAAATTCTACTAAAATTTGAGTTATGACAATGAGGACAAGGCTGGAGAGGTGTGATTTGTTACTAGTGTTGATTTACTTCACATTCTCGTCGAGCAAAACAGAAGATTGGATGGGTTAGGCCAAAGATATGTTGGTCAATGATGACTTTATAGAGATACTTTGCACTACTAGAATCCTTAAGTCTATAACCTTGAGTCAAAGTTTACAAATTAGTAGCAATATAGAGTGTCGTCGTCACTTGGTAAGAAGATGGTGCAACAGCACACACTTTTATTATTGCATACAAAGAAGTGTTAGTAACACTGAAAGATGCAGCAAACCTAATGTTGTTGCCCATTGTTGGAGATGAAGATCCATGCCACATAACTTTGACACAAAACAAAAGCTTTATCTAAGTGGCTTTGAAGAAGGTGATGAAAAAAAATGCAAGTGCTTTTTCTCACTCATAGATGAGAGAAAATAACATTGTTTTTTTGACTTGGATGCGATACTTTTAGACTAGCAAATGAAAAGATAGTCCATATGTGCGATAAGCATTCCTCATGACTTGGTTGAGCAAGTTTGTCTTTGGAGGCTTTCTAAACCACAATATCATGCTAAATGCATCCTGTTGGCCATATGCTTGGCCAAAGGTGTTAGACTTCTGTTGGCACCACTAATGCCTGATACACTTTATCACGTGCTTGATTTACTTCATTCTGATGAAATTCTTGGTGCTGGATACTATGTTGTTAATATATATGCTTGTTTGTCTTTGTTGCAAATGTTTGTATTGGAAAGGTTTCATCCATTTCACTTTGATTGTGTTACCATTGGCATAACTTTGAAACAGTTCGCTATGGCAAAGTGTGGCTGTAATACCCCAAAATTTTGTGCTATTTTAGCATTTAAGTAAGGGTTTTTGTGTGAGAAAAATATTGTTTTGGGCTTAAGAGCCGAAATGTCCAAACTTGAGGGACTTAAAAGTGGAAGGAATTTGGATAAGGATGAGCTTCTTTTCTTTTTCTTTTTCTTCTTTCTTTCCTTCCCAGCCTTGTGTGTTTCTGCTCTTCTTTTCTCCCCTGCAGCTCCCGAAATCCCCCCTCCAAGCCACCGGCACCAGCTTTGAAAAATTGGTGAGAAAGCTTGGAATTTCTCCTTCTTTCTTGTCCAAGAACCTGATTTGGAACCTAGAAATCTTTCCCCCTTGCTGGAAATTCCAGATCTGCCTTGCTCTGCTTGTCTTCACCGCCGGCTGCTATGTGGGTGGGTGATTTCTGGGCATTTTTCAGTAAGAATAGCCCCTAATTTCCTTTGTTCTTGCTTGAATTGGCTTGGGTTAACTTTGATTGCTCTTATTTCCTTCAATTTTGGGTAGATCCGTGAGTTTCTCCCCTGCACTGCCGCCGGCTTCTTCCCCCTGCTAGGTCCGGTTCTTGTTGGAAAATTCTGGTATGTGACAGCCATTTAAGGCTTAAATTATCCATTTAAGGTTGCTGCTTTGTGATGTCCGAATTTGGCTAAAAATGGGGGATAATTCCGGTAACTTTAGGATGAGATTTAAGCATTAATTCAAGTGGGATTTATGTGATTGAGTGTTAATTGCTTGTGATTTTTGGAGAAAATCCTGTGGAATTAGCTAGTGTTTTGGCCAATTTATGAAAGTCGGGGTTACTGTTCACGTCGTGGTACTGTTCATGGACACTGTTCACACCCCGAGGGCCAACTATTAACGGGGATTTAAGTGATTAGTTTGTGATATAAGAACGAATTTGGAGATATTTGATCATGTGGAGATTGATAGGAATAGCATCGGGATTAAGAGTGATCTTAATGATGATTTCAGTTTGAATTTGTGGTGATACGATAATTAATTATGGATATTTTGATTACGTTCTTGATCGTTCTGTCAGTTAGTACGTGAATTGAGTGCTCGGTTTTATGCAAGTGAGGTAAGTAAATTTATGGTAATGCCCGTACTGTTTTAAAAG